ATATATATTCCCCCCCCCACCCCCCCACTTTAAGCAAATTGACCTTTCGAGTAAAATATGCTAAATGGAGTGAACCAATATATTAATATTTAAAGCAATGAAACAATATAAAAAAAAAAGAGAAGGAAGGAGTTCAAGGCATCTGGGTTAACAAAACAAGATCAAGGTCTCCACATAGAATAGTGAAGCTCCATGTAATTATATATACATACACACACTATACATATATTATAGGCAATACATTACTATTGAATTCGACACATTTATAACAATGTCTTTCAGGGGTCTTTCCCAAGGGAATACGGAACCGAAGGATTCTGTCGCCATCAAGCTAAGAGCACTGCATAATACTGGAGTACTGCTGTAAAATATTTAACTAACGCCACAAAAGGTAGGGTAGGAAGTGCTTGTATCCTTCAATATACACAGCCCTTGTGTTTCTCCACAAGCTTTTGTGGATCTCAATCAGAAATTAAATACAAAATAGTACCTTTCTTGGCAGTAGCAATAAAATAGGAAACATATAACAAAATTAAGAAACAAGAAAGTAAATATTGTCACAAAATATTCTCTTATTTGTACAGTTATAGCCGCGAAAATGTGCCATGGGTTTAAAAGCAACACGTTCTGGAGTCCCACAGACCCATACCTCACATTGTGTTCAGATGTACAATAAAAGCAACAATGGCTATAGAAAGTAAACATTAAAAGAAAAGCATCATCTTTGATCTGTCTCAGTGATGGATGAGCTAGTGGATTCCATGTGACCTGATGTGGTTTCGGTTGTCCCTGATGATGATGGGGTTTCTGTACAGACACTGTGGTCTCTAAAACTAGTGCTTTTATAGTCGATCTTTGGGAAATGATCTGCATCACACGACAGGTCATCACATGAAAAATTTAAACTTCCCAGTTTGGCAAGAGAGTGAGATCTCTTCAGAGGGGACGAAAGAGTAAGACCTGCCAGGCGCATCCTTGTTTCAATCTCTTGAGTCCTCTGTTTAACAAGTCCTGGTTTGCCACGTACGCTGTGAATGCTGTCACTGCTTGAACTTCGGGTGAGATTGGAACTAATAGAAGAGGACGTTGGTGTATAGCAAATGGTCTTTAGAAAGTCTTTTGTATAGCTACTCATTAAATCCATTTTACAAGAGCTAGGAGTAGAAGTTTTTATAAACCCCATCTCCAATACATCAGCCACTTCTAGTTTTTCAAAATCTTTCGGCTCTTTATTAGTCTTACCAGACTCCGCTTGTCCCTCACCATCTATATAACTACTGGAATCTGTTTTGTCTAGGGGACATTCTTTAATCACAGAAGAGCTTTCACTCCTTAGACGTTCCAGTTCTTTGGTATGTTTTCTGACCAACCCAGCTTTTTGTAGCTGAATAATGGATTCCTGGTGCTGCATTAAATAGCTATGCATGGCAGGTTTTTCCAATTCTTTGCTGAAAAATAAATACTTGAGATCCTTAGCAGGTTTGGAATCCCTTTTAGAAGCAAGGTTTTCATAAGAACCTACTTGACCAAATACATCATTTAATTCAACTGAATCGTTGAAGTTCTGATCAGTTTTTGAAGGAGATGCATTATAGTCTTGCGAGTCCATTGGTATTTGTGCTCCTTTAGAAAATGTGTCCCCATGCATCCTGTTTAACACTACCGAAGTCATATGCTGTAGAAGTGCGGGCTGACTGCACACGGTTGGGGTTTCAGCAGAATCCAGCTGCTGAGGTTCTTCATATGCGTCAGATGTCATGGCAGTTGATGGGTACATACAGTCTGTGCAAGAAGGATATCGAGGTTTAACTTTGCTCAGGATTCCAAAAATGGCATCCTCCTACAGTGTAAAAAAACATTAATTAGAAAGCCGACTAGAAGCTGTAATGAATCAGTAAAACATGTTATAGTGACACTAAGGAAGTATACCATATAATTAGGAGTGGAAGAAAGGCACATCACAAAGCATTTTAGAAAGGGGGCATTCAAGTAACTATTATACACTGTTCAAATGGACAATTAGATATGCCATCAACTAAGATGGATCCCCAAATGCAACACATGCTTCTGCATAGTGGGAAGTGCCAGCTATTTTCTTATACATCAGTACGGCGTAAACGCCCATGCAGAGACCTGCTCCCGGGAGGGACAGATGCAGTGTGTAATTGCATGTAGCCACCTGTACAGCCCAATGAAAGGCTACATGCCGACCCGTACCCTTCACATCCATGCAGGTCCAGATACCTGCACTTGGATGTGGGGCCGGCATGTAGCAATTACACACTGTGCCTCCCAAGAGGCAAAAACCTGCTCCTAGGTGTTCACTTCCGTGTGAATGAGGCCTATGCGATACAGATAACTATATCTTGTTAGGGAAGCTAATGCCCCTAAGGAAAATGGAAAGGAAGAAGCATGACAATTGTTATAAACAGGTGGAAAGAGCATAACATACTGAAGTTGTATGTAAAAAAAAACTAGGTGATATGAATGCTTAAAGAAAAGAGCTGCCACTAATGTTTATTTTCCTACTCGATTCGTTGGCAGATTATTTTTTCGAATAATCAAATAAATTAAATACCCTCTTTTATTTGAAATACACAAAGGGAGTGTTACAAAGTTTACTTCAGAATAAAACTGCATGCACAATGTTGTGCAACTGCACTGGAACACACAGCATTGCAGTACCGCGTGTAGCAGAATTCGTCAGGTCAAAACAACACCACCTTTTATAATTTTTTATTTAAAATAACACCAAAATTGGCCATAAAATAGAAATAATATAAAAAAATATAAAAGCCCGGTTAGCGGTTTAGAATTAGCCCCCTTTTTGATAGCACATTCCAGAAGACAGGTTCTCTTTAAGGTGACATTAGGGGTCTATTAATGACCCCTAGTATCACCTTTCCACTTCAAAAAAGCTGTTCAAGCACACATTGCGCTTGATTAGCTTCAGCTGGGGAATGACAGCTGCCGATGGAAGGATTCTGCAGCCGATAGCTGAATGTAAACAGCAGGCAGTGGGCGGGTGCAATAGCCAGTCTGCTAATGGCCATTTTAAACTACAATAGCCAAAAGCAGGCTGGCTATTGCACCCGCCCACTGCCTGCTGTCAATCAGCAGAGGAGGGCCGTAAAGGAAGGGGGGTAGGTTTGGGGAGCCCTCCTCACTGCTGGGCACTGGCTGCAGGAGTCTGGGTCCCCTCCAAGCTGGATGGGGATACAGAGCAGATGAAAACACTGGCGGAGGAAAGCACTAGGGGATAGATGGCAGAAGTTAAAGTGACACTAAACTCAGGAGTTAAACCTTAAAAATGCATTCAAGTACCCTAATTATTAACAAAAGTTGATGTTATTTGTGTAGATCCTCAAATCATCTCTGAATTGGTGCTGACACTGTTCTGGAGGGTGGCTACTTTTGTTCTCCATGGTCCCCGTGTGTGTTGTAAAGTAGTCACCGCTCCAAGCTCACTCCCCTGATGGACTACAATCTCAGTATAAATTATTAGTAAACTAAAACATGAGACTGTAGTCCATCCCGGGAGTGAGCTGGGAGTGGTGGCTACTTTACAACACACACAGGGACCATGGGGGAAGAAAAGTAGCCACCTTCCAGAGGGCAGGACAGTGTCAGCATCAAGTCAGAGATGATTTGAGGATCTACAGCCGAGTGATACACAAATAAGATACATTTTTGTTAATAGTTAGAAGGTACTTAAATGTTATTTTTATGTTTTAACTCCTGAGTTTAGTGTCACTTTAAATAGCAATAACAAAATCTGCCAAAAGACCAATCAGTTATAAAACTATACACAGAACAATATTCAGATTAATGAGGAGTGAAGAAAAAGCAGAAGAAAGGAAAATAAATGGTAAAAGAAAACAATAATATAGATGAAAACCCCCCCAAAACATGGCAAATAAAATATGCAGAAGGAAGAAAGGAACAGGCACAGATCCAGGCAACAGAAAAGGAAAGAACTTAAAAATCTGTCCAATGTTTCAAAGAACAAGAATATGAGCTAAAAATAGAAACTTAATTGGAGACGAGGAGAAAATATTAGAATACTGAGTACTTTGAAGATCTATTAAACAAGCACATACTGTAAGTGTAGAATTCGAGAACAGTAATGAAGAAGTACTATTTTATGGCTCAGAAACAGATCTGCAAACATCATCACATGACAAAGTAAAAACAGTCTGTTCTGCTTTTCTACAAAACTGATACAAATCGGAGTGGAAGCGGTTATACTAGGCTGGCCAACAGCTTTTTTTTGTTTGCCAGCATCCAAATCCTCTTGTAGAAGGCAGTATAACCCAATTATATCAGAATAACTACTAATCCTGTGTCCTTTAATGCATTCCAAAAAACAGATTTTATGGTAAGTACAGAGCCACACGTAGAAGAGGAAGCCTGCAAGACTGAAGAATAAGGGAAGTATATCACCCCTATTCATCATCCCCTTGATAAAATGAGCAGGTAGCCCTTGCAGTGGGGAGGGGGACCCACTGCAAGGGTAGAGAGATCCCAGTACATACCAAAAATAGAAGAATATTATAAGGGACAGTCATTAGGCTTAACTCTAAATCTAACTGGAGTTTGTAATCATAAAAAAAAACCCATAAGCAGTTACATTAAGGGCCCCTTCACACCAAATCGGAAGGTAAAGCGTAAGTCGACAGTGTCCCTTGATTTGCGATTGTGCATTCCTGCCCATTGCAATCTGTTTATCAAGGGATGCTAATGCAAGGGCACCGAAAAATAAATGTGTGAATGGGGCTGGTTTACACTGATGTATTGCATTACGTTGCACTGAAAATAAAGTAGTGCATGTTCTACTTTTTTTCAGTGCAACATAACGTAACACAACACAAAGGAATGGAAAGGAGGGGTGTGATCTGGTCCCAGTCACACCCATACATTTTTTGGATTAACTTCTGTTCTTAATAACCTGGATCGCAATGGATCTGGTGTGAATGGGGCCTAAGGGCTCATTCACATATCTCTGCTGTGTTTTGGTGTGTTACCAACCACATATTAACTTGTGTTGCAATAAGGCAGCCCATTAGTTTTGAATAGGCTTCCAACACACCGTAACATAGGTTTTAACAGACTTGCAGCAACCTTTTCAAAGCAGCACACCACATTTCCATGTGCTCTATATGGTTCATATGTGTACATTGTGGTGCACTGTGGCCTGCTGGCAAGGTGCGTTAGGGTGCCATTCAAAATCAATGCACCACAATGTAACACAAAGCACCGCAATCAGTTTTGTCTGTTAAGAGAACACAGCGCTGACTGCTGTGTCTTCCTGTCCCGCGGAGTCTGCATTGACTTACCCTGTGTCTCTCCTCTTCTCCCGGCCGAAGATCTCTACTGCGCATGCGCTCACTTCATGATCCTTCATGGCAGCTCGAGAATTTTTCAGATCTTCGGATGGGAGTGAGCGGCGAAGACACAGGCACGTAATAACCTTTTTGGTGGCTTGTTTCTAATATTCTTGCATACATCTACGGCTTGCTAGCAGTAGATATATGCAAATAAAAGAGAGATTCAATTATTGTACTATCCCAAAATTTGAGAAATACAACTTAATAAAGCTATAATTAGACTAAGAATAATATATGAATCTAAAACATGGTGTTTAAAAGGAGAACTATGGGGTCAGGGCTTTTTCCCATAGTTCTCCTTAGGGTAACGGGAGGACACAAACTAGCGTCCTCCCGTCACCCTAGGCTCAGTATAACGCGAGCTGTAGCTCACGGTATACCGAGACGCCGCAGCTGAAGCGGATCCTGACAATTATGTCTGGATCTGCCCAGCAGCGTGACTGACAGCTGGCTCTGCCTATCTAGAGGCAGAGCCAGCTGTACCCGCCCCCTCCCGTTCCGCCAGTCAGCGCAGGCGGATCGGAGCGGGGGGAATCCAGCCCCTCCCCTGTCACAGCAGAGAGCCGTGACAGGATCGAGAGGTGAGCGAACGCCGGTATATGTTCGCTCACCTCCCGATCTACTGAGCCGACCTGTGACCTTCTCATTGTCACAGGTCGGCTAGAACTATGGAGGTGAGTGAAAAGCACCTTTAACACAAGTGGGTGAGAAAATGCTTCATCTATGGCAGGGGTAGGCAACCTCTGTCATAGAAACTACAAATCCCATAAGGCATTGCAAGCCAGAGGCAGAAGCATGTAGTTTCAGCACAGCTGGAGAGCCAAGGTTGCTTACCCCTGATCTATGGGAATAAAAGGTGTTAAGTAAAATCTGTGGACCAGCATATGAGAATGGACAATGAAGAAAAATAAGTTATTTATTTGCGGGCTTACATGTAGAACCAGATACCGTTGGCATACAAAAAGTTTAATAGGTTGAGATATACAGTCGTAATCACAATTATTCAACCCCCATTGCAAATCAGGTTTTTTGGCAAAAATGACAGACTTTCAGCTGTTCACAATGAACAAATCAAACAAAAGCAATTGAAATAGGTCAACACAAAAAACGTTTCAAGTGGTTTCCCCAAATTTAACTGAAAATGCAACTTTTAGGGCCTGTTCACATGATATCAGGTCCTGATCAGGTGTGGATCTGCAGACGCGGTGCTACTGATGCAGTGCGTTTTGGCTGCGTTTTTGATGCGTTCCAGTTAAAAAAATTTTTTTTTTTTTTTGCTGGAGTGGGGCTGTCAGTATGTTAGCTGCAGTGCGTTTGACGCGTTTTGCGTTTCCTGACCGGACAAAATGTGACATGCAGTATTTTTTCTGTCGTAACCTGAACGGACTGCGCACGTGAGAACTGTAGCCCATAAAACACATAGGGATACATCGGGATGCATTTTTAGTGCAGGAGCGTACGGATCAGGTCAGCACAGAAAACGGACGTCGTGTGAACAGGCCCTTAATGACTTCTGCAGTCTCAAAACTTTTCAACCCCCTAAATAGAATTCTTCACAGAGCACACATCTGCAAAACAACTACATGCACCAATGTAAAACCAAATGACTGGCGCTACAAATGTTTAATGTTACAGCATACAGGGGCATTGATATTCCATAAAAAGGTGCCCTTACCTCACTGTCTTTCGGGCAACTTCTCTTGCTGCTGCAATTATAGAAATCCTTGCTTGCTCGCAGTTCCTCTCCGTTACATTCTAAGGCAGCAACCTGATTCTTACTCCCATATTCGGTTGATTTTAGATCATCACCAAAATTTGGGGGTGTTAAGGTGCCTTCAAAATACAGCTTCTTTCTCACCTCCAACGTTCTGAAATCAAAATCACTTTTCTCTTTGGCTTCAACTGTGCAGTATGGCTCTGGAAATGGGGCGTCTTCCAGAAGGGCATCTTTCTCCAGCTCCTCCACTTCAAGCATCACATTTGGTGGCTCAAATAGTTCATGAGTGCTAGTAAGAGTCCCACAACATCTTTTTTCAGACATAACTGGATGCGCATCATCATCATCATTTATTCTGTATTCAAGATCAGTCTCCATGTTATTGGCCTGAAATGTTGTCGGAAAGATATCTTCTAAGTCAGTTTGAGGGATATCCTGGTCCACTTGTTGCCTCCACAATTTGTTGTGTCGTTGTTTACTAAAAAATAAAAAAAGGTTAACCATTATAATCGTCACCAATTAGAAGTTGTATAAAAAGGTACATTGTCAGCCTCCTAACAGTGATCAAAGCTTATAAAAGACCCTCAGCACGGGTGATGATACCAAACGGCCAAGATACAAAACGAATACCTAATGGGTTTTATGCTTTTTGGGGAGCGCTTTAAAGGATGTGTTTCAGATGCCTTCCAGCCCACATGCCTAATGAGTAAAATAGGTAAAGCTGCCCATACACCTTACAATTATCTGCAGATTTTCTGTGGCCAGATGGAAAAAGTGCAACAGATTGGCCCAGGTGGAGATTACTTCATCCACACAATTAAGTGTAGCTGGAGGAATCTGTTGCACCTTTTCTATGGCTGGGCACACACCTTACAACCATCGCAAGACTTTTGTCTTGCGATGGTTGTAAGGTAATTAAAAAAATGTACGATCTGCCTATGTTGGACAGGCAGATCGTACTTGCGATGATCGCAAGCCGCGCCCCCCTGAGGGGCGGGCTTCCGATGACCGCAATGCCGAACGGGCAGTGTGCGCTTGCGCACACCGGCCCGTCCGTCTTTTATCTTACGAACATGCTACACACCCGCCGAACATCGTACGATGCTTGGCGGGTTTTCGAACATGTTCCTAAGATAAAAGTCGTGCGACCTTACAGTAGTAGAGGTCGCACGGCTTCCACACACCTTACGATAATCATACGATTGCGGGATTTCCTGCGATTATCGTAAGGTGTGTGGGCACCTTATCTGACCACAGAAAATCTGCAGATAATTGTAAGGTGTATGGCCAGCTTAAGACCAAGACTTATTTGTTGTACTGGTTAAAGATTTTTGTTTTAGGTGTTGTGGGGCAGATTTTAAACCCTCTCTCAAATCTTCATTGCTGTTCAACCTAAATTACTCAACAGCTGTGACTCTCTGAGCTCAGTTTTTCAATTTATAGTTGTCACCAGCTAGAATTCTTCATATATTTACAACGAGAACCTACTAATAGCATGCCACTGGATTTCTCTGCATTGCATTCTGTTAGGCTGGGTTCACACCTGGGCGTATGGAATATGTGCTTTTGCCACGTGTTTCTACCGCGATTTGCGGTAAAAGAGACGCGCGACAAACGCACATTTACGAGGGCTATCCGGCTGTATCCTAATAGATACGCGCGGAAAATACGCCCCAAAAGAAGCTCCTGTACTTCTTTGGGCGTAGGGCGTTTTTCAGCACGTTCCTACGCGCCGAAATACGCCCAGGTGGGAACCATGCCCATAGGCAATTATTGGTTTTCACATGCGGAGCGTTTTACAGCGCGTCGATCAGCGCTGTAAAACGCCCAGGTGTGAACCAGGCCTTATAGATTCTCGCTTGGAACAAATTAAGAACTCATTTAAGTCAGCAACTCAAAGCCTGGCCTATCAAGGCTGTGGAGGGGAAGGGTTATATTGGCCACAGTTGTATCCTTCAGCAGCAGTGATGGCAAGCAATATGGGATTCATCCGTTTTCTGTTCTAATCTTAAACTAGAAAAGTATTTGTAAACCAAGTTCCTCTTAAGGTTAAAAAAAAAAAAAGTAGGAAATGATGCTGATAAAAGAACAAAGTTACCTGGCATCAAGGATTCCCTCATACTCCAAGAGTTGACGCATAAAACCGGAATTTGGTCTGGTGACACTGCGCCTTTGTTTGACATAACTGTATGCGTTCTCCATGGACCAGCCATACTCTTTCATGGCATAAGCAATGACTGTAGAAGCTGAGCGACTGACTCCCATTTTACAGTGCACTAGACACTTGGAATTATTTTTCCTGTAGGTACAACAAAGCAAAGAGAAATCACATCACACAGCACTCTCAGGGTTCTAATAGCAACACCAGACAGTTCTCGTGTCCATGCATACCGTGTTTCCCCGAAAATAAGACAGTCTTTTATTTTTTTTGGCTCAAAGAAACACACTAGGTCTTATTTTCGGGGTAGGTCTTATTTTTTTAAAATTTTTTTATGTACAAAAATCCAAAGTTAACGCAAATCCAAATTAAATAATCCAAACTGGCAAAGTTAAGAATAGGGTGATCAGGGCAATCAGGGGCGCCGTACCTTTCCAAGAGCAATTTGGTAACCAATCGCTGGCCAGAATGAGCGAAGAGCACTTTCACTATGGAATCCTCACAGGCGGAGTGCATTTGGTATCACTCCGCCTGTGACAGGAGGCGGGGCTATAGAGGAGGCGTCGGCTTGTGCGGCTCTGCTCCCTCCGGTGACGCCTCGCTTCCTCTAGCGCTGGCTTCGGTGGCACCGCTGATTCTCTCCCGCTGCTCTTCAAGTTCCCCCTTATGCCACCACCGGCCCTGGGAATGGTCACAACTAGGTCTTATTTTCGGGGGAGGTCTTATATTTTAGCAATTCCCAAAAAATAGTACTAGGTCTTATTTTCGGGTTAGGTCTTATTTTTGGGGAAACAGGGTATGTACAAGTTGATACCAACTGAACACATCAACACATGCTATTTCTCCCTTCTGGTATTTCTAATAAGTCTTCAATTTCATGTGGCAAGGAATAGTTGTTAAAGCCAAACTCCAGGATACAAAAAAATATAATAATTTACACACTGGGTGTGTAAATTATCACTGAACAGCTGTGTGTTGTGTGTGGGGGGTTGCTGCAAAGTCTAAAAATATTGAAGCATGCCAACACCTATCATTCAAAAAGCATCTTCCTCAGAGACCGTAACATACAGGGGTACAGGTACTCTTAAAAACAAGAACACACAGGGACTCGTACACACGCATACACATGCAGAATCACATACATACATGCAATGGGTTGAACTTGATGGACCTGTGTCTTTATTCAACCTCAGATACTATGTAACTATATAACGCCTTTCTTCTGGGCACAGGGAGTGAGGGGTGTGACTCAAGCAGTGAAGTGCTCCAGTTTACTCCCTGCTTCTTCTCACTACTTGCCCATTAACAAAATGCCTTATATTTTTCTCAAAGAGAAAGTTCTGTGATTGGAGGAGTGGAGAGCACAGGGATGTGACATCTGTCTTTCTCCAATCACAGAATGCCTTGTATGTTTGAGAAAATACAGGGCATTTTGTGAATAGGCAGGTAGCAAGGAGGGGCGTGGATGAGACCGGAGCACTTCCCTGTCGAGTTGCAACCCTCACTCCCCACAGCACCAGAGAAGTGTTGTGTAGGTGCTGCTAGCATGCTGCAAGATAAAAAAATGTATACTAGCAGCCCTCCACACAGATCATGCAACTTTTAAGTGGTAATTTATACACAGTGCAGTGTGTACTTTAATAGTTCAATAGAAACATTTATTTGCTATAAATCATAGACATCGAGACAGGCTAAATTAGTGACACAGAAATCCTTTCTAAATGGCAGTTGCCATTTACAATTTATCATCAACTTATAGCTGAAAGGTAGTAATTTCATTGTCAAGTCATTGTTTTGTTTTCAACAATTTATAATTTCAACAAAAAATTGCTGAAAAGAAAAAAAAAGGAGCATCAACTTTAGCATTTACAAATGGGCCTAAAGGGTTTTCATATGATGATAACCAGAGGCCCTCTAAGGCCCTGTTCACACTGAAGCGGTTTATCGCGCAATTTCCGCCGCAAAAATCGCACATATTTCCACGCGATATCGCTCTGTGTAGCTTGTCCAATGCATTTCAATGGAGCTGTTCACATCTCACAGCTCAATGTCGCCTGTAGCTTGTCACTCGTACATGACCCTTTTTCATTTGGCTCTAATAGACTCTATGGTGTCGTGCTACAGAAGGTACACTTTTGCACATCAAGATCCCTGTTGATTGGTTACAGCCCAATGTAGTAGCGACGAAGTCCCGCCCAAAAAAACGCGCTATGCTCCATGTCGCTCAGTGTGAATGGGGTGTCAGAATCATGTGCATAGAATTTATTGTCAATGGTGCTATAAATTGGAGACCAATATTAACATGTATAACTAGTGCTATGTGTAAGTGTAGAACTACTTGGGTAATACCACATTAGAGTAAACCAATACCAACTTTGCTTTGTTAATGAAGTTATAGGCATCATTCCAGTGGGACAGCAGGTCAGTGCTCTCCTCATCATAAACACGAATGTTATGATAGGCAAAAAGGCCAGGAAAGAAGTTGTCTATCTCTCTCGTCACATTAAGTATGTAGCCAACTCTGGAAAAAAAAAAAACATACAAATTTAGTGAACACGTCAACATACATTAAGTTATACAAAACAGAAATACATAGAAAGCCATCTCTCATCAACCACAGTACAATACAAATGAATAACACTTGCACTGGTCCTAAAAATCAACAACCAAACATCAAACGTGTGCGCATGTGAAACACATCAAGGCGTTCTATGTAAAACCACTACAGTTTTTCTATTGTTTCCAATTGACCTATCAATGCTTAGGTGATCACTACAGGTTTTATTAATTTGCTTTATACAGTAAATTATAACCTTTTTGTTTTTAGAAATTGGAAGCAATGAAGACATAAGGATCATAAGAGCTGCTTACACATACAGGCTGAATTGCTGAGGCCTTTAAACTTCCTAATGGAGAGCAACCCAATCTGCCACTGATTTTGCCATTCACCCATATCATCTGGTAGACCATACAGATGAGCTATACAAATTCCTCACACACGTATCACTAAAAGTATCCTGCTAACACTTACCCGATCTGATGTCAGAAATGAGCCCTTACGGCTTAAACACTAAAACCTAAGCTTAACAATGACATAACCCTTACACTATGCCGTAACTTGCTTAAACCCCATTCTACATACATACTCATCTAATCCAATGCTGACTCCCTATCTTTGCAAAAGCGGCCCTATATCAAAAAACTACATGTACACCAAAGTGTTCCTCACACAACTGTATCCATCTTACCTAAACAATGTCTGAGCAGATAACTATTAGGAGGAAAATCTGTAGTGCCCGATAAACACGCCTCCTTTGCAGATAATACAATATGTATGTAAATAAGCACCTAACAGATGACAGGACAACATGATATGGACATGGCATGCATGCATCAATCTGGAATTTCCCACTTTGCCAATGCTTTTTACACACAAAGGCACCATCAAAAGCAAACAGTTTGAGAAAGCGAGAAACCTACCCAGCGTTGTGGAGTTCCTCCAGGTTTGATGCATTCCATTCAGATCCCTAAAAATAATAAAAACATTGCATATAAAAATAGCTGAATTCAGGTGTAGAAATTGCTTTATATTATTATACATGAAAACGCATAAAGATTACATAATAAATATAGCTCAGGTTTGAACTCCACTCTATTTGGGCCAATCCACTATGGGAGGTTTTATAGCTAAACCGCATTTTTAGGCTTACTCTTTCTGTACCCCACCCTTCCTCTGTGTCAGTCTGTGCACCGAAATCTGCAGAAAGTTTCTCACCTACCGCTAATGCTAGATTATCGTTGTCTTATGGCCAGTGGCATAATTAGTGACTAGTCAAAAATGCTTCAAAAGGCTGCAGGGAAGAGAGTTCAGCAGCACATCTTTTACATAGGGCACATTGGAAAAGAGCCTTCAGTTCACAAACAGGGGGTATGTGCGGACTCTGGGCAGGCCCACTGGGGTGGTATCACTGAGCGCAGTGTTCAGGGTGAGAAGTGCCATGGAGTGGAGCATGATACGAATGGGTGGGGGATGGGAGGATGAGCATGTAGGATTGGGATTTGAGCAGGCACAGCAATAGTGGAATAAATAATTTCTAGCAAAGTAGCACATGAGCACAAGTGGGCTGGAGGGGAGGTGTGTGTGTACCCGCACAGTAGCGAACCTGAAGAAGGTAAGCAGACATGCATGCGTGGGATACCGCCGCCCTATTGTTTTAATCACATAACCCACAGTGCATGCCCTGGCATGCTGTTGCCAGGTGAGCTTGAAAAGACCATGTAAGTGCTTCAAACAAAGTTAAACAATGATAGGCAGGAAAGACAGAAACAATACATTTTTCTATGTTGCAGTAGTGCAGATCACAAACAGCATAGACCCAATAAGCCCTATAGCAAGAGTGAAGTTGGTAAAACAGGTTCATTCTTCAAACTGCCAAATGCTCTATACCAACGAAGTTGACTCATTTGCCTAGTTAAATTTATTCCTAGCTGTGCTTCATATTTCACACTGCAAAAGCAGTTGGCTGGTTCGAGGATTGTGGTAATGCGGCGACAGACAACATCCTGAACTTATTGAAAACCTGTGGCTAAGACGTCTGGTGAATAGTTGATGCAAAGAAAATCAATGTTTACCTTTAGTGAAGACTGGAGTTCATTAAGCAGCCATAAGAAAATAGTGTTAGTACATTTCAATTACCTATACAGACGAGAACCAATATATGTCAGCTACAACTCAAGTGCCAGTACGCAGGGGAAATCAAGACTTAAGTATATGATTAAAAACCGGCATAGTAACAAACCTTGATAACCAATTCCCAGCCCTCACAAAGAATCAATTCTTTACTATAAAATAAGACCACAAAAATGTAGGTGTGTATTTACCATGTTTACATACCAAGTAAAGGTAATCAAATATAAGAGACGCTTTATCCATTTGTCCCAAAATCAGCAGCATCTCGTTGTCTATGTATTCTTTGTACTCTTTTAAATTGCAGCTCAGCTTCTTCTCTAGCTCATTTCGAATCTAGGAAAAAGGCAAAGGGCTCAAAAAAAGATTTGACAATTCAAGGGAATGTAAAATCGTTGGAAAGATACTGCTTACTTCTTTACAAGTCACATTTTCCAAGTCTTTGCCCATCATGATACTCCGCAAAGTTGCTTTGATGACCCATTCAGTCCTTTCACCTTCATTTGGCCTATACAAGAAGAAATACTAGCTGACGTCAAAAAACAGACAGAGAGATAACTGTTCCCTTTCAAGAGCACCAGAGCCTACTGTACTGTACTGCAGGACTGTGCCCCCATGTACTTCTTTTCCTGTTCTCAATAAAAGTGAAGAAGCAGTCCCATCATACAGAGATTTGACAAAACGTTTGCCCAATCCTTGTGTGAAGATGGTTTCCGGCAATCAAACTGTGGGTGGGATAGAGCCCTTTATGGCCACCCTTGGCTAAAGAAAGTAGCTATGCCTTGGGTTCTTTCACAACTAAGAGGCATTTCTTATCAGCTAATCAATAGATGGAGGGGAAGAACCTAAAATATTCAGTATTTCTTCACCATTAAAAAGAAAACAACGTTAAACTGAGGGGTAAGTGCAGGCCTGAACTTCAAATTTCAGTACCATGTCAATAAGCATTATTTAGCCAAAATTTTCATCAAATATCACTTAAAAAATCTGCCATCCACGGTGCTGCAAAATAAGACATAATACAAGGCAGCTCAAACTTTACAGTGTATATAAAGTCAAAACCTTCTTTTTAATTTTGAATAGAGTTGGGAATGGTTAAGACCCCTGTCAGTATCCCATTGGGAAAATGTCTCTTCACTTCTTGTACCAGAGACACAGCAATAAGCAAGAGGAGGAGGATATCCCCTATTAGGCTGGGTTCAGACCTGGGCGTACGGAATATGTGCGTTTGCCGCGCGTTTTTACCGTGATTTGCGGTAAAAGAAACGCGCGACAAACGCGCGTTTCCAAGGGCTATCCGGCTGTATCCTAATTGATACGTGCGGCAAATACGCCCCAAAGAAGCTCCTGTACTTCTTTGGGCGTAGGGTGTTTTTCAGAGCGTTCCTACGCGCTGTAAAACGCCCAGGTGGGAACCATGCCCATAGGCAATCATTGGTTTTCACATTTTGAGCGTTTTACAGCGCGTAGGAACGCGCTGTAAAACGCCCAGGTGTGAACCAGGCATTAGACAGTTGTTACCAGAATAGATTTCCACATTAGATGATTGAAAAGATTGAACATGTTGGCCTTTCTATCACTTTCTGTACAGACACTGGTCACCAAGACCAATAGTAAGGGAATCTCCCCAGTAGGGCTATACACAGCAATAAAAATCTAAGAGAGCATCTAATCCTTCAACATTCTATCTAAAGCTAACAAAGTTAGTTACCAGTTCTGAAATAGATCCTTTTTTCAAAACCACCCTTTTATATGCTCCTTGTTTATGCCTGCCAACTTCTGTAAATTAATTCTGGCGTGTTTTGAATCATTCTGTATATGTTGATATACAACAAAAGAAACATTTGATGCCACTGCCTATGGGATATACCATTTCATCTAGTAGGAGGCCTGGCATACTCACTTCTCCATGAAGAGAATGGGGGAGTCTGGCCGAGTGGACTCCAGGTCCTGCATGGTGTTCCACTCATTGATGCAGCTTTGGTCAGAGCATATACAGCTCTCATAGTACGAGGCCCACACAAGAGCCAGCCCTCCAAGAAAGTAGTTGTATCGTCTGGCAACTTCACAGGCCTTGTGCAGGACTTGAAGTGCTGACCTGTTTTAGATTATGAGAATAAAACAGACTTGAATGAACAGGCACAAGACCACGAACAAAGCGTTAAAGCAGATAAAATCATTTTCCAGGCTAGCCTCATCATCAGCCTTCTTTGCCATTTAGAACACGATGTAAAAAACAAGCATTTCCAATGAATGTTATGCCTCACGTGTGGTGGGATTATAATTAATTCAGTGATTCTCCTTTTTATAGAAAGACTTGTACATAACCTAAGGCTCTTTCGGCTCTCCAAACACCAGCTCTCTAACTCTATATCCACCTCCTCCTCGATCACCTCCAGGAAGTCTCCAGAGCCTCTTCCATCCTCTGGAACCCCCCATCTCAATCTGTGCACCTTTAGATGATCTCTGAAAACCCATATCTTCAGGAAAGCCTATCCCATCTCTCCAAGAACAGAATTTTTACTTTCTCCATCAACTCATTCCCTACATAGTTACTACCTTTTGAATCACTTGCCCCTCCCCTTTGGATTGTAAACTCTCAGGAGCCTGGCCCTCCTAGTCCTCTCGTCTTGAATTGTTTTGTAACTATACTGTCTCTCTTTACAGTGGTACCTCGGTTCATGAACGCTTCTGTTCGCAAACAATTCGGTTCGCGAACAGGAAGTTAGGCAACATTTTGCTTCTGTTCACGAACTCTGCTTCGCGTGACGAACAGAACCGCAGCCGATTTCCCTGCTCTGACACATGGTCATGGCTTCCTCTAGTCGAGATCGCGGTCTGATCACAGTTTGATTCGGTTCATGACCAAATTGGTTTTAGTCGAACATCGCATTAAGTTTGTGAGCCGAGGTACCACTGTATATTGTAAAGCATTGCACAAAATATATATTTATTTACACACACACAGTAAACTCCCCGTCATCCACGGGGATTGGTAGATTCCGGATACATATAGTTTTTGGTTGCTACTAAAAATAGGTCTAACTAATGCTATACCCCATGCTATACTATACCATACCAAACTCTGTATTGACTTCATATTAATATTGAACTGCAGTAATCAAAAGCAAATAGACACACTTAAAACAAATTAAGGAAAATAGGCACACAATCATATCCACGATCATTTTGTTCTGGTTAGATGAGAGTTCTGGTTAGCTGAATACCAAATAACAGAGAGTTTACTGTATTATATTAAAAAAATTTAATATTTCTTTTTTTTAATCCTATAAATCCATTATATAAACTTTCTGCCTGAAAAGGTTTCCATATACTAATACACAGGGCTTGAAACATTTTAGGTCTCAGCAGTCAGTCACAAATTTCACTGTCAGCATGACCGGACTATAGCCTTGCAATTTATGTCAAACTTTTTTGGAGACACATAGAGCTTTCTTTTCGGGGTATTTAATCACCACGGGGGGGGGGGATATTTTTTACTATATAATGAAAAAAGTACCGTAAATCTCGGGAAAACAGATGTTTTCCCTACGTTATGTTAAAAAACATTTATTCTTACCGATATTTTTGATAAAATATAAAAGACGGAGTGATGTCGGGTAAATAGACACCAAACATGTCAAGCCTTAAAATTGCGCACGCCAGCAAAATCGCAAAAGACGACCACACCAAAAATTGGCCATAGGCGGCGCTTTAAACGCTTTTACTGGACATCAGTTTAATGTGATTAAAATGGCCCTAAAATTATTGCTCTCCAACATGTGCGGCACAATAGGCGCACCCGACGCATGTTTACTTTTTGTACACTTAACTTTATTGCTATCACATAGGGGCTAAGAAGCTCCTTATGCGATAGCCAAGTTACATGACAGGTCCTCTTTATGGAGACATCAGGGGTCTCAAAGACCCCTAATGTCACCTAGGGACCCGCAGAGAAGCCGATGAAGCAGAAATCTGCTTCACCGGCTTCTCCCCAGCTTCTGTAACTGGGAATGACAGCTGAATGACATCACTTCCTGCATTCAGGAACTGGAGAGGAGGAGATCAGAGGGAGATCGTGTACCAATCTCCCTTTGATCTCCTGTGAAAGAGCAGCCGTGTCGGTCCCAGACGCACCAGGCACAGCGGATCTCGTGACCGGCAATGTCCGTGACTGTGTGGGGTGGGGGTAAAACCGCAGCTAATACAAGCGATCGGACGTCTCTAGAGACGCCCGATCGTTTGAATGTAAACTGTCATCCAAGAAGCTCCCAGCCGACCATTGTAATTAAACGGGCGGCCGGGAAGCTACTCGTCCTGCTCTGGCGTCCTCCCGCCTGTGAGAGGACGAGTGAATTTTCAAGCCCTGCTAATGCAGTATGAAATGCAGATTCCTTGGTGCAAAACTAAAACTATAGAATACTAATTACACAGTACCCCTAGTAGTAAAAGTGTAAAAATAAGTTTATCCTTGCTTAGTCAGCTTACAAGGTTGGCATTGTTACGTGATAATGCACAGGGAATTTGCCTTCCTTTGTAAAATCAAATAGAAAAAGAACTGAATCCAGTGTTATTTGATAAAGCCATGCACAGGCTCGCATATTCCTACACAGTGCTGCATTTCCATTGATTTACAGTTTATAGATACTTAATAGCTGTGTACAGTTTGGAAATGTCTTTGTCCAATGTCAGTGAAGTAATCTGCAATAAACTGCCCTGAATGGTTGAAGTGCATTGTGAAATTATACTGCAGATATGTGAAATATAAAGCTTATGCACAAAATGATATGTATATTGACAGAACTACAGAGCTTGCAAGTCTCATTTTTTGGCTATGCATGGTTAATGATTTAAAAACACTGTGGAAGAATGAGCCCCAGAGCTACAAAAAAGTGCTTAATTACACAAGAACACTTCAATGAAAACACAAATAATATTTCAGTAAAAATGTAGCTGAAACAATCAGGAATGAATATTATTAGCTGTTCCACACAAGACAGCACCAAATGTTGCTAAGTAAGAAATTGGTTTTGGCCACTGTGCCTGTCCATCTGTATCATTTGCATTTGCCCTGAGCAAACCTAGGGAGGAATGTGAAGAAAAGACAAGGATGGGAAGAACAAAAACAGAAGTTTGGCAGGGAAGAGAGATAGGATGGGAAATCACAAGAACAAACAATGGTACTCTACCTTGTCCATGAAACTCTTTTAGGATTACCTCTTCCCTATGAGAAATGAGGTAATATTGGTGGTATCTAACACATTATAACAAACACATAGATAATGATGACAAAAGAAAACAACCAAATATCACAATGGTTGCTTACCACATGGCTTGGACAGATACCGGTTTGAACACATGGGTTCTTCCCGCAGTGTTGACACTAAACCCACTAAGCACAAAGAGAATACAGGAAGTTTAGAACTTTAAATAAAAAGCAAAGAAATATTTCACAATGAAATGCAAATACACTGCTTACTGTAGTCATGTGTGCATAATCAACCAGAAAAAAGAACCAACTCTCCTCACCAAGCGGACCCTCATATAAGCAGAGGTGCGCCGGGCACTGGTTAAATCTAAAACAGCCCAGAGAACAAATGCTGTTTCAGGTTTACATGGCATGATCTGTTCTCCATTGTTGACCTTTGTTTATAAATAGGTCCATGGTTTTTGGTGAGCGAAATTTCCTGGGTGAAAGTGTACATCTACAGACCTTTCTAGTAGTGCAGACTGGAAAAACAGAAGCGGGACGGAGCGGGCCCAGCCTTGCGAGAGGCAGCGCCAGCTGTCAATCAGCCAGCAGGGCAGATCTCGACAGTATTGTCGAGATCTGTTCCGGTTGCGGTGAGGCTCTGCACTCTCAGTATATAGCTGGCAAAAGCCCGCTATATACTGAGTTTTGAGTCACTGGACAACATTAGTATATGTCCTCCTGTGACCCTGAATAGAACTTTGGCCAAAAAAGGTTGGCCCATAGGTCTCCTTTAACTCCAACAATTAAAATTGTGACTTTTCTCCCTGCCACAAAAGTCTGCTCTATGTGGCGGTTGTATACATTTCAAAACCGGATGGACAGCAATACAAATCTTTTCTGGCAGGTAAAACAGCTCCCTTACATGTTTTTTTTTTTTGGTTTGGATTTAGCGGTTTGCCTGAAGTCCAGCTCAAGTTACAAGCATCTAGTGCCTTCTGTTGCCATCTTCAGTTTGCTAGTAGTGTCTTCAAAAGAATAAGCTATACTTAAAAGTAGTATTAAACTCTCTGCATCTTTAACCTAATACACTGCTAACATGTGTGGCCAAACACTTGCAAACCTCCTCTTTTGTCTGCTGCTCGATCCTGGTCACAGCTTCTCTGAGCTTCCAGGTAGGGAGAGGGAGCGTATTGAGGGCACAGGAGCATGCGCACATGAGATCACAATAGGGGGAGGAGGACTGGCTTACAGCATCAGACAATGCTAGGCGATGGATGCATGGTGGGAGTGTGCACGCAGGGGTGTCTCCACGGGACACTGTAAGAAGGAGACACCGAAGCATCGGACAGCATCACCAGCTCGGAAGGGACAACATGAATGACTGGAAGGAAGAGGTACACACCAAGAGGCATCACATAAGGTAAGCCTTTACACTAGCATTGGGGGGAGGCTTTAGTGCCACCTTAAATATATTCTGAACAAAATCAGGAAAATAAAAATATAGAGATTTATAAAGATGGAATTATTGCATTGTGTTTACAACCATTTTGCCACCAGGTGGCTACAATGTTGCAACATCACCAAATAAAAGCTTTCTCTGCAAACTTGTTAATACTTTATAACTTCATACAATACAAATGTATTTAAACAATGAAGCCCTCTTTTCTGACACATTGGAAGTTAGCTTATGAGAGGTCAGCAGATAGTTAGGTCATCTTTCCACTTTGCTTTGTATCATTTGCATTTACTCATATGTCTATTGTTTCTTTGTAGAAGTCCCAGATGAGTTATGAAGTTTTGAATGTTTCATGGAGTAAACAAGCCGTGCCGTGTATGTGATCACCAACAATGAATAATCTATGAACCTCAATAGACAATGCATGTGTTTAAAAGAGCAGTTCTGCTTGTATTTCTTCATTATCAATAAAAAAAAAAAAAAAGAATGCAATAACTCACCCATCCCCATCCATGTGAATGGTGGTGTCACTCCACAAGTGCAGAACCATCCCGATAGTGCAACTTTTGCTGTGGCAGAAAACAAGCTGCTTGAGTGGATATGTCATAGGATAATAATGTTAGTACTTTTTAAATTGATATTGGCTATAGAAGTAGTAAGCTTAGGTCTAGATTTTGATTGAACTGCTTTGATTCCATTAGCACTGTAATATTTTTCCTTTACTGAAATACCATTGAAATCGATGAGGGCAGGGGGAGGAGATCATGGGAATGTCTGTGGATCTAGGGACAAAAACCTACTAGCATATTGCTCCCCCAAGATAAAGGGCTCACTCACATCATATGTGTTCAGGCTGAGCTAGCAGTTTTTTCTGGCTCAGCCCGAAAGTAAGACAAAGCAATTTGCCTGGTCATGGGTGGGCACAGTTCACACCACTAAGTTGCGGTGGTGTGTGCTTAAAAAGGTATGGCAAGCAGTACTTTTTTTTTTTAAGTGCACCGCAGTGAGGAGCGGTACAACCACATCGCACTGCAGTGTGCCCATACTTTATGAAATTCCATTTGTGACATTTAAATAAGATTCTAACAAAAAAAAAAAAAGTAGAAAGAGAGTGTGAAATGCATCGGCACTGCCCATGCTCATGCACACCAGCAGCCATACGGCTGCTAGTGTGAACAAGCCCAAAGGCAATGTTGGGGACATCTTTTTCGACCCACATGCTCATTCATGGGATACAGGCGTGTATACCTTGATATTGGGTTAGAGAAAGATTACCTGGCAGTCAGATCATTAAAGTGTATGTCAAGCCAAAAACTTTTGTTTTCTATTTTTGCATATAGTATGGAGAGGGTTATAACTTCGGTTGGGTATTTACTGCTATCCAGAGATCTGTTCAAGAGATTTAACCTCATGTCCTATCCTGCTGACAGACAGAAATTAAAATCTAAAAAGGGGTTCTAGCCTTCCCCTGCTAATAAAAATGTGTTGCTGTTTTTCCTCACTTTCTGTCTGGTAAAATATTGTCAGCTGGACAGGAAATGAGGGTACATCTCTGAAACAAATCCCTGGAAAGCAGTGGTTTAACGAAAGCCAGACAACGGTAAAAACCTGAAATGGGTTCTAACCCCTCCACACTATACAAAAGGAACATTTTTGCTGGACATACACATTAACCACATTCTGACCGGCTGTTTTTGTGCAGCCATGCTGCAGCTCTGAGTGGACTTTAAAAACATCCTTGATGTAGAGCACGTGCCAGGGACGTGCACAATGCTTGTAATCATGCTGCCAATCACATCGATCATAAAATGTAAACACTGCTTGTGTTCACAGAGAGCCCTCCCCTTTCTGTCACAATGGACGAAGGGGAAGAAAGTGGATTAAAAGGAATAGATTGTAGAAAGATAGCAGCACATTCATGGTGTGTGGTTTTATTTAAATGATTGTGGAATCTTTTTTCTAACCATTTCAACCCTCTCCTTTCCTCGCCATTACCAAGCTCCATGTTTAAAAAAAACTGTGCTAGCCAGGGGTCTAGTCTTTTCATAAGAATATGTCAGCCTCCATACTTCCCAACTATGGATTCCTTTAACAAGTTATTGCATTTGTCTTCTTTCCATTTTGACAACTTCAATTTAACCACCTCAATACCAGCATGTTACCCCATTTCAAAAAATTGTGGCAAAAATGAGATAACGTTGGAGTCTCTCCTTTCCTAAAAGGAATCATTTTGTGTAGAGATGCACCGAAATTAATTTTTTTAACTTTTGTTTTTCCAACCTTTTTACATAATTTTTCTTGTTTACTTTACTTAGGGGAAATATCAGGAGTCCGTTCCCAGGACCCATGATATTTCCCTTTGAAAATAAGAAAAGAAGAAAAGAAGATTAAGGACACAGAGTCCCAAATCCCTTTTTCTGCAGCCCCTGGTATGAATGAACAGGAAGCCTCTATACTGAATCTCCTGTCCATTCGTAAACGGAGGAGATAGGATCAGTTACTATGCCCACAATCATGAATGAATGGGAAGTGATGTAGAGCACTTCCTGTTCATTCATAACTGCGGACATAGTAAGTAGTGCTGAGTGTTTGTACTCCGCTCTCCATCCCGACTGCTCTGCCCCCTCCCACCTGTTACAAGAGGCCGAGCTCTCCGCCTCCCACCTCCCCGCATGATAGCTTCTCTCCTCCCTGCTGGATGCCGGTCTGAGTCCCCTCCAATCCCTGCTGCCTCTGCTGACCCAGGTGGAAGAGAGGAGTGGGGATATGAGGGGACACAGACCGGCACCCAGTGGGGAAGAGAGAAGCTAGGGATGCACTGCATTTTTGGCCGTTTTGGTACCATCAGCATTTTGCCCATAGTACTATTTTCGTCCAAAGTGTTTTGGCAGCTAAAATTTCGCTGCATCCCTAATTTTGGGGGTGTTGTACTGTCCTGACATTTTTATTTCATGTGCTTTATAAAAGAAAGGGAAACTGTTTTTCTAAATGCTCTATTTGTCTCAAAATAATGACATACAAGTCACTTGGGAACAGTGTTGGAAGAACAAGCAGTTGTCAAACTATCACACCACTGATACTGAAAAATGGTCTGGTAATGAAGGGGGTATAACATGCTGGTTTTTGAGGTGGTTGAACAATTGACTCATTTACCCTACAGCCATCCTCAGGTGCTCATTGTTGGATTGTGAAAAATTATTAATCCTCCAAGAAGCAGAAAAGCAGAATGAACAATGCAGAAAACACTTTTCATTTTCAATCGTGCTAATCTACAAACAGAGTCAATATAAACTTGACTCAGTTAGTTCTCAGTATATCTGCCTTTTTTTGTTGATGACAGACTCAAAAGCAAGCCAAAGCATCAAAATAGATTAAACACAAAGTCTGGCTTGACTTTTTGGTGACTTATCCTACAAAAAATAAATAAATTGCATCTTTACCACTATGCAGAACTTATAGCTGAACTCCAGGATAAGCAAATATTGTCTAAGTACAGTAGGCGTATGTATTCTTCCATGAATCTTGGAGTGGTTTGTGTATTACTATCAGATCTGTGCATTAATCTAGTGTAAAACTTTGCCTCTGTGCAAGAGCTTCTGTAAAAAAGACCGGTCACTGCTGCTCTCTCTCTCCTTGTGCATGGTGACTAGTCTTGTATCTGCCCCTCTTGTAGTTTTCTGCAGGCAGCCTATAGATGGTGGGACCTGCTAGGTCCCTCCCACAACTCTGCCTCTACCCAAGCTTTGTACAGCACAGTAATGATGGCACTGCTATTTTTATAAAAGGTAATAACTGGGTTTAAAAAGGTATTTGGTGCCCATAAGTGTTTGTGCCTGGAGCTCACATTTAATATTGCAACTCACCTCTCTTTACTGGCAAAATCCACCCCCAGAAGTATATTCTCTTCCGTATCTTGCCGTCCACTACTGTACACCACGACCATATAACGTACACGATCTGACCAGCTGCTCTCCAGACGCACAGCCTTTAACAAAAATCTCTATAAGCATTTCAAGGCTACCCAGGGACTTTGAGTGGGCTGAATGATCAGGCAATTTCTTAGGTTGAATGTTCTTTTGTCTAAGAAAACCATTTGCACTCAAAATATTTTACATGTAAATGGCACCAGAACAGATCTATGGAACGGAATTTTTTTGTCTATTTCTGACAGTCTTTATGCATTTTTTCCCGTCATTTTTAAATAACTGATCAGACACAATGCGTATTTCCTGTATCCTGACACATCATGTTAATATTATTTAGCATTATCATATGTATTTTGCAAACAATCTTTTTCATAGATACTGTTAAGCAAAGATCTTCAGTAAAAATGACTGCAAACAAGTCTGGGGAGGGTCATCTTGTATCCAAGGATAGCAAAATCCAGACTTTATAGTGACACTGTTAAAGCTGAACGCTAAGTATGCATTGTTTTATAAGTATGAATATGCCTCAGAGGTGCGGTGACGTCAAGCTCTGCCCCTCGTCCAGAGAATGCCTTGTATGCATGGATAAATATACTAGGCGTTTTTGGAATGGCCAGTGTGCCGACCAAGTGCCCCCCCC